AACAGTTTTATCCGGATAACCATAGGATATTTCATAAAATTTGGATACAGAAGCATCAGGGTCAGACAGAGACATAACATCATCCCAGTCAGTGCCACTAACCCGATTGTACAAACCGCGAAAATCTGCCTTAGCATAATCATACATGTACTTATTCTTGTATTCTTTAGCAGCAACCCTGAAGAACTCGAATCGATGCTACAAGGACTTAAGGGTGCCTCACAAGCAGCAGGTTTGAAAATAAACTTACAGAAGACAAAAATTATGAGCCCTACTACCAACATAATTGCTACAATAGACATGCACACCCAGGCAGACGGAATATAGAAGTTAAAACTACAACGATAAATGGAAGTTTCTGGATTTGGATCAGAAAAATCTTAGGAGAAGCAAATGTCACCGTAACTATAGACTCAGCTTAAGCAAAAACTGAACTTTTTATAAAGAAAAATGAAAGTCGATAAATAACACGCCTTGGACAACATCCCGGTACAAAATATGAAAAGATCATTAAAGAAAGACCTTTTTATAAAGGAAAGGAAGTCATGAAGTTTCAACAAATGAAGTTGATACAGCATTAAACATGAAGGAAGAAACTGATGAGAGTATAAAAAGAGAAGAAAATGGGAACTCAGAAAGAGGCAGAATAGACACAAAAATACTAAATGGAAACGCAAGTAAATCTCAAAGGATATGTTCAAATAGGCGGAAGCATTGACGCTGAAGTGAAGCAAAGATTACTGACATTGTTGTATGAATACGAAGATTGCTTTGGCAAAAAATTATTAGAAACATGCACTGAAGAAGGGAAAAAAATATAGGTACGCCAAGTTTATGGGAAAACACTAAAATGCCCTGTATGAAAAAATCATGATAGCAAATTGTATTTGAAAGCAAGGAATGAAAGTCCCTGCTGCTGCTGTATTATGTTTATAGAGCGTTAATGCGATTGCACTCTTACGCTATGTTGGGTGAATCTCACTGCTGTGTTGTGTTTAAAGTTAATTTTTGTTGTGGGAAAGGGCGTGGAGTGGGAAAAGGATAGGAAGGCATAGGAAGGAAGGGAAGGGGATTTCATTCAACTAGAAGAAAATAGGAACTTTTGAATTTCGTAGGCGAGTCCTGTCAGGGTCAAAGTTATCGTCAAATAAGTTTTCGATGTCATTGATATGGTTAGTTACTGAGACAAGAAACAGCGTATGTTTCTCAACAAGATACTGCTGGATTGTGTCTACGCTCAGATCCGTATGTAGGTCCACATTGCCAACGTACCACGGAGCGCCGACTATCCCTTGGATTACCTTGTTTTGAAGTTTCTTCTTGTTTTGTCGTGAAGTCTGAGAAAAAACTGGTGCATCCTAAAGTAAACAGGGTTTTATGACTTGTTTGTATAGTAAAAGTTTGCTCTTAGCCCTCGCCGCCCCAAAATAATTTTAAAACTTGGGATCCCATAACAAGGTCTAAATGGACCCAGATACAAACTTTTTTTTAGAGTGATTTTGAATATAAAATTTTGGGAATCATAATTTAATTTCTTTATGCAAAAAAAAACAACAAAATAAACTTTTTATTCATAAGATAAGTAGATAGTAAACAAAAGTTAGAAATTCCGAAAACACGTAAAAAAAGCTTGCTACAACTTGTCGAGTTGGAGGGTTTCAGAGCATACCGATTTATCCCAAAACCGGGTTATTGGTGACCCATAGGCCCAAAGGCAATATTCTTGACATAAATTAGGAGAATTCACAGAAGATCTCTAAAGAAAAGTCGCGGGGCCGCAAGATATTCCTGGAAAATCAAATTTTGGGTCATCGCTGACCCGCTGTCGGTAAGGCGAGGGTTAAGTGTTAATTTACTGTCCTTGTTAAGTAGAGGGAGAAGCAATCCCACTAATCTGCTAGATTTATTCAAGTTGTTGCATATATGTGGAGTCCAATTAAGGAAGTTCAGTCTAGTATAAGTCCTAAGTATTTAATTTGATTTGTCCAAGTTATCACAGAATCGTCCAGTATGAGGTTGTCAATGGGTTTGTTATGTTTATGGGTGATCAGGACAGCTTGGGTCTTATTTTAATTTTTCATAATTTTGCCCAAGGTGATTTTGTAAACGTTTTTGTACTTGAAGTGAGTTCTTTTGTGGGATAAAAATACATTGTATCATCTGCATAGATGGACATTTTTGCATTAGGATTAGTGGGATGTCCCCCGAGAGCAGTGGGGCAAGGACTGTGCCTACCCCAAGGCACAGCGGCTTCTATAGGTCTGACATTTGAGAAAGTATCATTATTGAGTTTAACATGGAAAATTCTGGCTTTAAGGAGATCAATAATAATTTTGATGACCTAATAGCAGAAAATATTTGTCATGAAGTTTGACTATGAGGCCAGCATGCCAGATACGATCAAAGGCCTTCCCAACATCCAGCAGCACAACACCCGTTGAGGAGCGGCGCTGCAAGGCGCGAGTGGTTTTTTGATACAGCATGGCTAGCTGAATCTCAGTGGAATGTTTAGAACGAAAACCAAATTGTTCTTTAGGGAGGATGCTTTCAAGATAATGTAAGGATTTGAGCTTCTCATGAATAATTTTCTCAAGAGTTTTGGAAAGTGAATACAGAATAATTGGACGGTAATTGTGTGGAAAATGATGATTCTGGTCGGAGTTGAGATGATTTATATTGCCAATAACAATGTTATAGGGGACATTTTTAGATAGAGCAAGGTCTAGAATGTCAGGGGTAGAATAATGAAAATGAGTTGGCTCTAATAGTTGGGGAGCTGGCGTCAAAAACATGCAAGAGTTTTCGCAAGGCCGATATTTTCAAAATAGGTCGTACTTTAGTGTTAGAATGCTAGTGTACAGTCAGCACTCACAGTTCCGGGACAGCTGGCTCTGGGACACGGGCAAAGTTGTAATTTTAAGAAGCATCTAAACTGTTTTCTCAAAGCTCAAAATTTATAGAAATTTTGCAGATTATCTGTTTGAAGGTCACAGATAACGTATGTAAATCGTCAGACGTTTAGTTCGTTGCAAAAAGGGGGTCCGACGTCCTCAAAGTTTTTATTTTATGGCATTTTCTTCGGTGTCCTGTCAAAATATATTTTTGCAGGTATTTGACAAATATATTTGAAGAAAATGCCATAAAATAAAAACTTTGAGGACGTCTGACCCCCTTTTTCCAAGGAACTAGACGTCTGACGATTTACATACGTTATCTATGACCTTCAAACAGATAATGTGCAAAATTTCTATAAATTTTGAGCTTTGAGAAAACAGTTTAGATGCTTCTTAAAATTACAACTTTGCCCGCGTCCCAGAGCCAGCTGTCCCGGAACTGTGAGTGCTGACTGTACACTAGCATTCTAGCACTAAAGTACGACCTATTTTGAAAATATCCGCCTTGCGAAAACTCTTGCATGTTTTTGGCGCCACCTCCTGGACTATAAAGTCTAAGGGAGCATAAACTGAGATAAGGTTGTCCTGGGTAAGTTGATGTAGAAAAGTGCCGGCTGTATTATTAACGCCACACCCTCAGGCTCTGTTTTTGCAGTTTAGATCCCCTGTAACTAAGGTTCATTGGCGGAGCATCAGAACCAAAGAAGAGGTTCCTATCAATTATAGCATCGTGGGTTAAGCGTTTAGGAGAAGGCGTATAAACGCTGAAAATATTAAGAAGGAAATCTGCAAGGTGGACTACCACACCAGTGTAGAACATTGTCAGAGGCAGGAGTGCCAATAGTGTCAAGGGGGAAATTGTTTTTAAAGAAAATGGCAGTACCGCCACCAGCACGGTTAGATCTATATTTCTTTCTATAGTATAGTTTTGTACGTTGTAAATTGTATGTGGTCTGAGCATTGTCTCCTGGACTTATTTTACGTCAACATTATCCTCATGTAAGAAGGATGCAAACCCGTATCTTTTGGGAAAGATAGAGTTTGCATTCCAAGAGATTATGTTAAATCTCGTCAATTTAAGTGTATCACCCATTAGTCTAGGTAAGTTGTGTTAACATTTTGGGTCTATGAAGTTAAAGAAAGTATAGTTAATTCTTGGTTTTTTTTAATGGGGGAAATTTAATGTCAGAGACGTCCATTTTGGGACTCCTGAAAAGAGTTTTTGTCATGGTCAGGTACGGGGCTGCCTATTTGAATATCCAAGTCAACATCTGGCTGAATCGGTACATCCTTGGTAATGTTCTGAGTTTCACATGAAATGTTCTAGGTATTGAGTTAATTGTTTTTACGAATTTCAAGTAGAATTTCGTCCAATGGAGTTTGTAATGTTTGTATGTTGCCTTAAAATTTTGTTTTACTCTATAATAAAAGCTCACATTTCTTTTCTAGAGAAATGTAGCTGAAATCGTTGTGTGAAGCAGCTTTCAACTCACCCTTTATTTCATCATTATCAAAGTTCGTTTTACTTAGAATTTCCAAGCTAGAAGATATATTAGAACTGCTTAGATATGAATCGAAAATAAGATATACGTTGGCATAAAAGTAGGTAGATACCTAAATAGGGTGAAAACAAATACAGGAACCGTTTGAGTGTAGCAAAATTAGGCTTTCAACAAGTAGAAACTTTTTACATTTATTTTGTCTTTTTTTTCCAAATCATATTTTTGAAATTGGAAATAAAGATCATTATTATTATTAGATAATTTAAAAGCTTATGCAAAATAAAAAGAGAACAGATATTTTTTAATAAAATCTTCCATAAGTTAAGTTACACCACTGAATAACTACCCTCCGCGTTTTCTCCCCATATTGATTATTTTCCCCTTATAACAGGCAACCCAAAACACGCAAAGCCCAAAGCTGTATTACTCAACAAACAAACAAATAAATTAAAATATTTAAACATATAACAAATTGCCTGTTAGTTTTATCAAACAAAATGTATGTATGCAAATATTTGCTTTTAAGAGCGCACATTCAATCATAATAAGCAATAAAATTAGCAATAAAATAAAATGAAAGCTCGTTAAAGCACTATTAGGGTACCTTTGAGATCCTTAACTAATGGATCACTGACTGACATTTCTTATCAGAATAATTATTATCAATTTTCTCTGGCCGCGGTTGCAATAAAAGTCTCCGAGCTTATCATTCGACAACCACACAGCGCGTACTCCAAGTCGGCTCGAGGCTACGTTAATAAATTATTATTAACAATTTAATAGTTACATTAACAACAATCGCGCGTAAACAAGTGATTCGAAAACGATGGCAGAACCGATTCCCACACTGGAATCGCTGCTAAAAGAGGCGAAAAAAGTGTTTAGGGATAAATTTGACAGTGAAGCTGACATTGCAGTGGCGGCACCTGGAAGGGTGAATTTGATTGGGGAGCATACCGATTATAATGATGGATTTGTTATGCCTATGGTAAGTTAGCGGGGTAATTCAAGAACTATTTTATTAGTAAACTTAATTTTTGAGAACTACAGGTCTAAGTTCTTGTTTTTCACTTACTAACTGAATTTATTAAGTACCTATCTACCAAAATGTTTTGCAATGCCTTCAAAATTGAGCCAATAAACGGGGTACTAGAGTAAATGGATGTTTATATAATATAGATACCTATTCATTATCTTGAACTTGAAACCGGTAGATTAAGTCAGAAAACGTCAGTTTCGTTTATTTTTCTGATAAAAAGAAAATAGCATACAGGTTCACTCAGAAAAGCGTTATAGTTGCATATATCACTTATCATTATCGAAAGGTACACAACAATTCTTGTATTTAAATTGACCTCCAATTTGTAGACCACATCGTAGAACGAGTTTTCCTAAAGGTCGTGTTTCCTCGAATATCATAATATATATATTTTTTATACCCATAATAAACTCGCTGTAGACGTAAACAACTGGTTTCCTAGTTCTGGCCTGACTTTCGATGCAATGTTGTGATACAATGTGCCTCCCTGTCAAATCAGATCGTCTTGATCTGACTTTTTATCGTTGTGATAAAGCTTCAACCTGTTAAGATGCACCGCACCTTATTATCTTCATTTTATCTTTGGGACCGCGTTAGAATCGATACACCACGTCGTTGAGTCTCTTCATAATCCCCTACTAGTGTTAGTTTGAGAGATATACTTTTCTTCCTTTGAGTAAAGCCAAGTTGTGTCATTTTCCTGGAAGCCTATTAATGAGTTCGCCCCAAGATCATATCTTGTGTCCATTTTTTCGTTCATTTTGATCTTAACTTTTGTCCTAGGCACGGTCAATTGCATTTTGACTCCCTTTCCATTGAGGTACACTCTCCCAGGGTCGTTTCAGTAAACCATGATATCACAATCTGGTAATTGATCACTTATGAGACTATACTTTGATCCGTTTCAAATCGGAGGCTTCTAATAGGAACTCCTTCACGATGATCAATTCTGAAATAGTGCTTGCATTGAGCTGGGAATGGTCGCCAGGATAACGAATCTGTGTTTTTATGCAGCTCACCAGAACAATGTTTGTTTTGAGAATTATACATTGTACTATTGTAACTTGCAACTTCGGTTTGTTCCTTGTTCTTATGGGAAATTCTTGTCTATACAAATACTTGTAGAAATGGTCTTTGACTATTGCTAACAGTTCTTTTCTAGTAACGTAGTAATTTCTCTCGGACTTGGTAAGCATTCTACTGTGGTATCCAATAACCTTGTATTCCTGAAAGGGGCGAAAGCCAGCTTCAATTCCCGTTTTGCTGTATTCAAAATAACTTTTCCATAAACGCATGGTTAGCCTTATTTAGAAGTAGTACTGGAACATAGCTGCTTTCAGACTCCCAACAGCTACGTCACAATCGGTGTTCCAATCAGTAGTAATAGTTTTTTCCTCACGAAGTTTATGCAATGGGCGCGGAGCTGCTATCTTAGCAAATCCTTCTACAAACCGTCTACAAAATGTACAAGGCCAATTTTGAATGATTATTTTGTGACCCAATGTTTTCAATGTAGGAAAATTGTTAGATGGGGTCAAAATAAAAACAGAAACATATTTACTTATATGTCGACGTTTCGACCTATATTAAGTCATCCTCAGGACACTGATTTGTTCTATATTGTAGAAGGAAACATTCTTCTATAGTTTGCAAGTTGTTTGTTGATTTTCGCCCATTTCCTCAAATTTTCGTATGCCAGTAATCCGTGATTACGTCGTATATTTTCTAAGAATCCCATATTCTTCTGTTCCAGTCGTAGATACTCTAAAGTTTGTGATAGTTTTGAATGATTATTTTGTGACCTAATGTTTCCAATCTACGACTGGAACAGACGAATATGGAAGTCTTAGAAAATATACGACGTAATCACGGATTACTGGCATACGAAAATTTGAAGAAATGGGCAGACATCAACAGACAACTGGCAAACTATAGAAATCACAAATATTTTCTTCTACAATATAGAACAAATCAGTGTCCTGAGGATGACTCAATATAGGTCGAAACATCCACATATAAGTAAACAGGTTTCTGTTTTTATTTTGACCCCCTTCCAACAATTTTCCTACATTGAAAACATTGGGTCACAAAATAATCATTCAAAACTATTACAAACTTGGAATATCTGCGACTGGAACAGACGAATATAGGATTCTTAGAAAATATACGACGTAATCACGGATTACTGGCATACGAAAATTTGAAGAAATGGGCGAGCATCAACAGACAACTGGCGAACTATAAAAATCACAAATGCTTTCTTCTACAACGTGGAACAAATCAGTGTCTTGAAAATGACTTAATATAATAGTCCAGGAGGTGGCGCCAAAAACATGCAAGAGTTTTCGCAAGGCGGATATTTTCAAAATAGGTCGTACTTTAGTGCTAGAATGCTAGTGTACAGTCAGCACTCACAGTTCCGGGACAGCTGGCTCTGGGACGGGGGCAAAGTTGTAATTTTAAGAAGCATCTAAACTGTTCTCTCAAAGCTCAAAATTTATAGAAATTTTGCACATTATCTGTTTGAAGGTCACAGATAACGTATGTAAATCGTCAGACGTCTAGTTCGTTGCAAAAAGGGGGTCAGACGTCCTCAAAGTTTTTATTTTATGGCATTTTCTTCAAATATATTTGTCAAATACCTGCAAAAATATATTTTGACAGGACACCGAAGAAAATGCCATAAAATGAAAACTTTGAGGACGTCTGACCCCCTTTTTGCAACGAACTAGACTTCTGACCATTTACATACGTTATCTGTGACCTTCAAACAGATAATGTGCAAAATTTCTATAAATTTTGAGCTTTGAGAAAACAGTTTGGATGCTTCTTAAAATTACAACTTTGCCCGCGTCCCAGAGCCAGCTGTCCCGGAACTGTGAGTGCTGACTGTACACTAGCATTCTAACACTAAAGTACGACCTATTTTGAAAATATCCGCCTTGCGAAAACTCTTGCATGTTTTTGACGCCAGCTCCCCAACTATAAGTCGAAACGTCGACATATAAGTAAACACAATTCCAACAATTTACCTACAGATTCTGAATTAATGCTTGTTCCAAGGTCGAGACCATTCACGAATTGCTTGGATTTTTCTCTCGTCATTGAATTCCTTCGGGTGAAACTACATGGCCAATAAAATCAACGCGCTGGTAGAAGAGTAAATAATTTTAGTCGTTTAGTCGGATTGCATTACAGATACAAGTGAATGTGGTAAATTTCGTGAGTTTTTATCAAAAGTCTTTTCCATCACTAACAAATCATAGTACGATTTCCATGTCTCTCGAAACTAGCGGGGACGTTACAGAGTCCAAAAGGTATTATCTTGAATTGGTAAATAAAGACCGCTTTCAGTGGAGAACGCTTTCGGCAGCTTTCATTATTTTGTTCGTAGATGAACCTGGCGAAGCTGCATTTGGTGTTGATCTCCATAACCATAACGACGCTCTAACGGATCGACAAGAGTATCATAGTTTTGTTTGGAATCTTGCAGAAAAGTCTCTTACAGGTCTAAGGCATGGCAATGCTCCAACTATTGCCAGCGCAACAGTTGCGAACTGACGTCTGTGTATCGTCCACGATCTCACGATGTCTGTCAGACGCACGATGCGGTCGCTTAAATTCAACCCCATGTCAAATTCCAATTTTTCAATTTCATTTTGAACACTATATATTTCTTGGCGGAAAGTTTCAACTTCCCGATGAACATTCCCAACTTCTGCCATGTACTTCATCCATTGCATTCTTCCAGGACTTTCTCCAGTCTGATTTGTTCGTCAAAGGTTACTGTTTGCATCCATTCTCGCTGAAATTTGGAATTTTCTTGAAGCTGTTTCTGTTCTTCTTGTCTTCGATAATCGATAATGTTGATAATCATCATTGGAGAGCAACAATGGAAAATCTTTCAACGAAAGCTCTTTACCAATACCTGCTACTCATAGATTGCACATGAATTGTTTATGGAAAGGCATCGACAACCCGACCAGGGACCAGGAAATTAGTTATATTATATAGGTACTTCGGATTGGCGAGTCGGATTGACAATTTTCAAAAGGATCAGCATTCTCAAACTTTAAGTAAGCTATGGATTGTCTTATGCAAAGCTTATTTCACAGTGATCTGAATGCAAGCATCTGATAAGTTTTCCAAATCAGTCTTGGTGCCTGACCCCTTCATTGTTTTTGTTTCTTTTATGGGAAAAATTAAAATATCTTGAAGATAATTTATAACATTATTATTATAATATGTGATTCTGCGTATTGTCTTCGAATAAGGTCCTTGAAATTTGATACTATAGTTAAGTTATTTACAGTTGAAATACACAGTCTTACACCCCTCAAGGGGTAGCTACCCCAACTGATTTTTTTCAAATACGAACCTACCTTGTGTTGCATATCGTTCGATAGCTCATTGTTATCCCTTCACAGTCCTATAAAAAATCTTAAATCGTACGATTAGTTTTCGATATATCGGTGTTTAAAAGTAAGCCCATTGTAAAAACTAGTAATTTTGACTATCTCATAGACAAAAAAATTCTGTCATAAAAGTCTCGAATACACATCGGCGAAACCAAATAATGTATTTATCCTAATTCTATCTGGTTCTGCACGTCTCTAAAGATGAATAAAAGACCTTTGAAAGGAGCTATCTCATGGGGTAGGTAGGTTCTCATTTTAGAAAAATTATTAGGAGCGGCTAACCCCCAAGACAAGAGGGGTGGAAGTTAGGCATAAGCACATTTGGTTTCCCCGATGTGTATTTGAGACTTTTAGTACAGAATTCTTGTGTCTAAGAGATAGTCAAACTTACTAGTTTTCAAAATATGCTTACTTTTAAACACCGATATCTCGAATACTAATCGTCCGATTTAAGATTTTGCTATATGACTGTGAAGGGATAGCAACGAGCTATCGACCGACGTGCAACACAAGGTAGCTACCCCCTAAGGG